TTGGGGGGGGGGGGCTTCTGCCTGGGCTAATGACTATGCCTGTCAGAGTCCCGGCCAGTGGTCACCCTCCAGCCTCAGGAAGCAGCGCAGGCTGGGCAGCTGTGAGTGATGGGGGGACCACGCGGTGCCCCAGGAAATAGAACCTATGCTGGGCCTCGGGTCCCCATGGGTGCACTCTTTAAATAAAGAACATGTAGTTAGCGCCTGACTTTTGCAGATTCAGTCCTTTCATTCCCACTATTTCTTTGCCTTTTTTCCCACAGACCAGCTCAGCTAGTGAGCAGGAAACACAAGCTCCAAAGCCAGAAGTGTCCCCATCGACGTCCATTACCACAAGCACCGAACAGCAGGAAGTAAGGCTGTTGCCCTGTGAAACTGTGACCCTCGGGTCTGCTCCCCTCAGTGGCCCCCCCACTGTGTCCGTGTGCCTCTCTGAGGCTCTCTTGGTCCTGCCTTGCAACGTCCTGGCTCTGAGCCCGACTTGCATTTCGGAGTTGCTGTCGGTGTGTCAGCCAGATGAGGGGGGAGTGCTGACAGGTGTCCCAACAATGTTGCGGATTAAAAATGCAGAACTGTTCATTATTGATCAGTCCTAGGAGATGTGATCCCACGCAAGGTCTGACAGGTAGAGAGCATTGCTGAGCCAGGACGCGCTCACCTGTCCCTGCTTGTCTCCTAGGACATGGCTCGAGCCCTGCAGAGGCCACCCACTGGGCCGCTGCCCACCTCCCAGGCCCTCGCTCTGGCTGGACCAAAGGTAGGCCCTGCTTTTCACCATGGCACCTTCTCAGTTTTAGAGGAGAACTGTCGTGTGAGTAAGAAACACAGGCACTTTTGTAAACAGTAAACTTGTATCCTGTTAACAGTTTGTTCTGATTAGTGTGTGATCCAGGAAGTGTCAGGATGTGCATTTTCTTAACTATAAACCAGTGACGCATGAACGCGTTTCCATTGAAGCATGTCTGAGTTAATCTCCCAGTCCACCTTCGTTCCCTTCTCCAGTGTAACTGCTCTGTGATGTACCCATTAAGTTCCTTCTCCAAATCTATTCCCATTTGTCCGTCTGCGCATAGAACCTTGGGGAACGCGGCTGTGGGCGAGGATTTACTGCAGCGTCAATAGAGCTGTGCCAAGTGCGCAGTTTTGTTTGTTTCCTTGTAAACGTGTCTTGGGGAGCCGTGCATGCCGGTGTGCACAGGTCCGCACAGATCACAGCCTCCCAGGTGTGACAGGCCCACGCCTCAAGCTTAGCTGGCACTCGGCCTCATGCACTTGGGTGCTTTTTTCTGTAATGTAGACATGGCGTCTTCTGGGGTTCCAGCCGTCGATGGCCATGCTGACTAGAGATAGGAAACTTGATCTGTGAGAGGCGGATGAGTGGTGTGCTACGGAACTTCGATGTTCACGGAGTCAGGGCAGGTGGTCTATACCCTGGGTTCCGTGGACCACTCCTTCTTACAAAGCCCCCCCCCATGTTTACATCCCCGAGTAGGAAATGCTTGGACCTTGCAGTTTAGCCTTGTGGTTACCCTGCCCTGTGTCTCGCACAGCCTGCTTCTCCATTGCCTGTTTCCTTCCACTGTCCACCATGTCACGATGTGGCCCTTCTCCCGGCAAGGGCAGCAGTCTTTCCGCTCTCCGTGAAGAACAGGGCTGCTGCTCACTTCTCGTGTGTCTTCTGGTGTCATGTGGGAGGGCTGCTCTGGGTGGGAGCCCAGCCCAAGCATGGCCCCGGGCGGCCCCCAAGAGCCTCTTGGAGGTGAGTGGCTCATGCCAGAGCACATGGCAGCCAGGCTTCCACTGTGCCCGCCCACCAGCCGGCCTTGCTTTTTGCCAGACTTCTCTCTGAAGGAGGCGGGCTTATGGTGACATATTTTTGGCTCACACTCTTCAGTGGGTGTTAAGCACTAGACGTTGGTTAGCACTGCCCGGGGCCTCGGTGTGATCACACATTTTTGCTTCTCAAGATCGTGCCCAAGCTGCTTATAAACCCGACCCACCTCTTCTCAGTGTGTGCGTCACCTTGTTGGTGTCTTCCTGCAGCCCAAAGCCCACCAGTTCAGCATCAAGTCCTTCTCCAGCCCCACGCAGTGCAGCCACTGCACCTCCCTGATGGTGGGGCTCATCCGCCAGGGCTACGCGTGCGAGGGTGAGTGTCTGCCGCTGGCTGCCGAGGTCACTGTCCCAGGGGCAGTTACACAGGTCACCTGTTGATAACTGTTGATCACAGAGTGTGTCCAACACAGTCATCCCGGAAGATGAGCGAAAGCAGAGGGGAAGGGGCCTTAGGCCATGCACTGTCGAGGCCTCTAGAGTAAAGCACCCCTGTGTATCTTCTCATTACAGCCACTGTTGATATTCAGAGGCTGAGCTATGCCCTTGCCCCATGCCAGCCCTGCACTCCCCTTCGGGTGCACCTACCCATACAGTGCCATTGGCTGAGGTCCTGGGTGCCCAGTGACACCTCTGGGGCTGGAGTCAACCCCGAGCACCCCCACGCTGGCCAAAGCCTCACACTTTTATATGTAACAGTAGATGCCTTTCCCATTGTTACTTAAATGCAGCAGTGTTGTGATTGGCTGCCAGGCCCCCGCACGTCCCCAAAACCATCTCTCTCCCTGTTGGTGATGTCAAAACCCAATGCTGTGGGGGAATAGGAGATCCAGCTCTGAGACAGCCCTTTACCGTCATGGCATCCTGGTGGCCTTGCTTGGGCTGTGGCCCAGTGAAGTCACTCGCACGGGTCCCCAGCTGTGGTGGGAAGTGTCCAGAAACTGCCTGGGGTCCCTGTGGCCTCTGGGCGCATTGCTGACGCTGCTCCTTGCTGTTGCAGTGTGCTCCTTTGCTTGCCACGTGTCCTGCAGAGACAGCGCTCCCCAGGTGTGCCCCATTCCTCCCGAGCAGGCCAAGCGGCCCCTGGGCGTGGATGTGCAGAGGGGCATAGGGACCGCCTACAAGGGCTACGTGAAGGTAGGATCAACTCGGTGTGAGGACCCTAGTGCCAATCCTGGGGGGCCCAGGTCCTGAGGACCCACAGAAACACACTCAGATGCAGGGCTGCTGTTCTGCCTCCTGGCCAGGTGCTTACAGACAGGGTTCCGAAGCCAAGTGCTGTCTGAAGACCTCTGTGCCGGATGCCTGAACGGCCGAGGTGCTCCCGGTGGTGTGAACATCCCTGTTGGCTCAGTGTCCACCATGTCCCTTTGTAACCTTCTGTCGGGTGCTGCCCTGACCTCTCTGGCCCCAGCCTGTGTGGGCGAGAGGGGGCTGCCTGTGAAGAGCGGGCCAGCTGTGCACAGTAGGAGGGAGGTGGTGGCCCAGTGGCATCTCCAGGATGTCCCCCAGGGCCCGAGGCCTCTAGGGGGCGCTTCCTGGTCAGTTTGTGAGTGGCCTTGCTGGCACAGTGAAACACGGTCCCTGTTTATCTGCAGGTCCCAAAGCCCACCGGAGTGAAGAAGGGGTGGCAGCGGGCCTATGCTGTGGTCTGTGACTGCAAGCTCTTCCTGTATGACCTGCCTGAGGGGAAGTCCACGCAGCCTGGCGTCGTTGCCAGCCAGGTCCTGGACCTCAGGTCTGCATTCTTCCCTGATCTTCACTTATTTCTTTTTCACCAAAATGAGAATTTGTGGCTTGATCACCTTTAACTTCATTTTTACCTCCATATCTTTAGTTATTGTGCCATTCCAGAAACAGGTACTTTAAAGTGTGTGCCAGAAACTTCCTGTTTTAGATACATTTGCACTGAAATATTTGCCCAACAAGCATTTAACATAAGAAAACCACACGCCCCAAGAACAGGTGAAAAATGCCCAGAGGCGTGTTACATGTTCTAGGGGGTCTGTCTCTCTGGTACCTGACAAGTACCCTCTTGTGATAGCAGCCTCAGGCCCAGATCCCGGGGCCCTAACATTTGTTGTGTGACAGCTCCTCTGGCCACCTCTGTTCCCATCACGTGCCTTGCTGGCACCTGACACACAGGGCAGCTGAGCACCCTCCCTGCTTCGTGGCTTCTCTCGTAGTTACTGCTGACTCTTCTCTTCCTGTTGGTACAGTGGCCGTAATAACACCACAGAGGTCAGAGGGTGGTTGTGAGGGTTAAACAAGTTCATAGCCGGACATGCTAGGCACAGGGCCTGGCATGTCACCTCCTGTCCCTGTCACCCACCCCTGGTGCACACAGGATGGCAAACACAGACATAAATGTGCTGCATCAGCCTGGGGCCAGGGCCCAGCCTCCAGCCTCAGTCCCCAGCATGGTTCTGGGGACACAGGGGAGTTGTGGCAAGTGCCACGTGGATAGCAACGCGTCAGTCACCTCCTCAGCAGTTCCCACTTTCTGTGTCTACAGTGCATGGGGAGGGTGGAAAGCTGGGGACCTGTGTTTTGGAAAGTCCCTTGGGGATCCTGCTTGTCCCTCCCTGCATCGGTGTGCCTTGGCCCAGCGACGAGGCTGTGTGGACGTCCTGGGGCGGTGCTGGGCGTCGGCCCAGGGTGTAGAATGTATTGGAAATGGGGCTGCCACGGTCATCAGCATGTTTTAGCTCCTCTAAAGTGATGGCCAGGTGACTGTCCGAGCCCAGTGGTGAGGTGGGGTTTGCCTGTCACTGGAGCAGCTACCACCACAGCCGTGTGGCTCAGGGAGGGGCCTCTCATCTCAGACGTCCCCGGGCGTCTACACGTGTGCAGTATCCATGCGCCTTTGTCGGCTTTGCTGTGGAGCATTTTCTAACCCAGTGGAGTCCAGGGCCTCCCTCATATTCGAGGAAGCAGGAAAGTGTCCTTTCTCGTAAGATTCGTGATAGAGGGTGCAGGACAGGGCTTTGTGTGGGCGTTTCCTTCCCAGGGTCCTGAATGTTCTGTTTCTTACAGAGATGAAGAGTTCTCGGTGAGCTCAGTCCTGGCCTCTGACGTCATCCACGCCTCACGTCGAGACATTCCCTGCATATTCAGGGTACAGTTCTTCTGTTTTTCAGAGATGTTTCATTAGTCATAAAAAAAACTCATGTGGTTAAAATGAAACTGTCCTGAGTGTGTCACTGTGCCCCCCCCTTGGAGGGGCCAGCACATGTCAGAAAGGCCCCCGTTTCCCCAGCCTCCCCTCGCGCTCCACATTCCTTCACGCACGTGCGTGTCCTCCGCATTATGCACGTGGCTCTGCCCGCTTCGCAGGGCGAGTCCCCTGCACCCCACCCAGGCCCATACCCAGCTCGCCCTTCCACACCCGGCTCTGCCCTGCCTCGCAGGGTCTGTCGCCCAGGTCCCGAGCCTCCCTCCTATCCTGCACCTTAGCCACTTTAGTCACTGTGCACTCGAGGCTGGGAGCTTCCCTTCCTTCCTGGGCTGGCTGGTCACGAACGGGGGCTACACAGGGATAGCCAGCAGCCGCTGCTTATGAGCACTCGCTAGCCAAGGTGGAGCCTCCAGCGGAGTCATGTGAGGGCGTGAGGATGCTTCTAGGAGACTGTAGGCCAGGGAAGGAGTCACCCAGCCCTCCACTGAGAGTTTTATCCAGCTGCCTCTCTTTTCAGAAAGTAATACAGAGAATAGCCGTCGCGGCACTTAGAAGGTGGTCCTCTCATAGCAGCTAAGGCCGGGCGGTTCCCCTGTGTGTAGGGTGCATGGAGCTTGTCCTGAGAGTCTTTTTAAATGATATGATCACTCAGAAAAGCAGCTTTAAAGTGGACATGACCCCACAGTTTTGTCAAGAGCAGGACCGAAAGCTATCGGGGGAAGCAGAGGCCTGTCCATAACCATCCTGTGTACCCACAGAGGGCCACTCCAAATGGGCCACTCGGGGCCTGAACCCTGGCGGTGGCCCTTGAGCCGCATCCTTCCTGCCCGTCCCTCTGGTGCAGTGGTGGCCAGGCTGGGGCGTCTGTGCTGTGGTTGGGTTGTCTCACGGCTCCTCTGTTTGTTCTGTCGTGAAGGTGACAGCTTCCCTCTTAGGAGCGCCCGCTAAGACCAGCTCACTGCTCGTTCTCACCGAGAACGAGAATGAGAAGCGCAAGTGGGTCGGGATCCTGGAGGGGCTGCAGTCCATCCTGCACAAGAACCGCCTGCGGAACCAGGTGGTGCACCTGCCGCAGGAGGCCTACGACAGCTCGCTGCCCCTCATCAAGGCCATCCTGGCTGCCGCCGTCCTGGGTGCGTGCGCGGTCCCTGGGCCCCGTCTCCCCCAACGCAGAGCTAAGTGTCCCAGTGTGTCCAGATGTGACCTCCGCCAGTTGAGCTGTCCATTTGGATCTAGAGCTCCTCCCTGTCCAGGACTCGGCCAGTCTGTGCTGACAGCTGACCTGCTTTGTGTTGTGCCCTCTGCCTGGACAGATGGAGATAGGATCGCGATCGGCCTGGAGGAAGGGCTCTATGTCATCGAGCTGACCCGTGATGGTGAGTGAGGGGCCGGGCATGTCTGCGTGCTGTCTCAGGTCCCGCCCGGTCAGTGCAGACACAGCGTCAGTCGTGGGAACTCGTTAGGGTTGAGACGACCTCACTGGGCCCATCATTGTCACCCATCAGAGAACTTTGTAACGAGGGAAAGGCCACAGCCAAGAAAAATGATTTGCCACAAGACTGGTTTCAGCACATGCAGTGTTCTCTGAGTGTCTGGGAAGGGTGGAGGGTTCGTCAGCAGTGCCCGTGGCAGGGTGGGGACATGTGGTCTGTCTGCGCTCGCCTCACCCCACCTCACGCCTGCAGTGATCATGCGTGTTGCTGACTACAAGAAGGTTTACCAGATCCAGCTCGCCCCCAGAGAGAAGGTCGCCGTGCTCCTCTGCGGCCGGAACCACCACGTTCACCTCTGCCCGTGGTCTGCCTTTGACAGCGTGGAAAGCAATGTGGACATCAAGCTTCCGGAAACAAAGGGCTGCCAGCTCATCGCCACGGCCACGCTGAGGAAGAGCACGGCCACCTGCCTGTTTGTGGCCGTGAAGCGGCTGGTCCTGTGCTATGAGGTCCAGAGAACTAAGCCCTTCCACAGAAAGGTCGCGGAGCTCGTGGCCCCCGGCAGTGTGCAGTGGATGGCCGTGCTCAAGGACAAGCTCTGTGTTGGCTACCCCTCGGGGTTCTCTCTGTTGAGCCCCCAGGGAGATGGGCAGGCTCTCACCCTGGTAAACCCCAGTGACCCCTCGCTCGCGTTCCTCTCACAGCAGCCTTTTGACGCCCTTTGCGCTGTGGCACTCGAGAGCGAGGAGTACCTGCTCTGCTTCAGCCACATGGGACTGTACGTGGACCCGCAAGGCCGGAGGTCGCGCACGCAGGAGCTCATGTGGCCTGCGGTGCCTGTTGCCTGTAGTATGTATATGTTTTCTGTTGCCATTTCCCTGTCGCTGCTCTTCACGCCGTCAGCATGTGATCGGTTTTGCTTCAGTGCGTCTCCGGCTCCCTCAGCCAGGCAGCTAGGGAGGCGCGGGGGGGCGGGCTCCATGGTTCTGCCGTAGGAGGTGGTCCTGACACTGGTCTCGGGCTGGCTGTGGGTGGGCTGGCAGGGGCCCCGGGCCGCCTCCTGCTCGCCCACCAGCGATCCTTTATAAACTGACACAGCAACCAGAGCAAGCGGAAGGTCTTTAGAGCGGCCAGAAGAAATTCCTCGCTCGTGTCTGGGCTGGGACACATCTCCTGGGGCAGGGCTGTTCTGGAGAAGGAGCTGAGTTAGTCCAGGGAGTGTAAGTGGCTGTGTGAGTGGTGGTGCTGGCGGAAGTCACGGCAGCCCCTGGAGTCTGGGCTCCATGGGTCACTTCCCGCCCCGCCGCCATCTGGTCACTTGTAAAAGACCCTGAGCCTCAGCGCCCACCACTGGAGTCTGCCTGTTGAACCAGCAGGCCAGATGGGAACCAGGGAGTGATTAGACTGGTCACAGGGACAGAGAAGTGGGGCACTGGGGGTGGGTGGTGGTGTCGTATTTTTCCTTAATTACCTAAAAGCACAACTTTTGTTTGCCTCATCACTGGCTTTTCCAGGCTGGCGGAGAACTCAGGGTGTTGGCGCCAGAGGCCTTGGCTCTTGGGGCTCGATGGGCATGTCCTGACTCGTTGGCCTTGGCCAGGGCTGGGGTAGTGCAGGCAGTGCAGAGCCTCCTGCTGTGGCCCTGTCCCTTCCTGTGTACCCCGTTGTCGTCTTGGACAGCGGTGGAAGGACAGCCTCAACCACACGGTCCGTGCTCTGCGGGGTCTTTTCTGTTAGAAAAGAAGACCCAGGGCACCCAGGCTCCAGGTGTCCATGCTGAGCCCTGCAGACGGACCCTGGTGCTCTCGGCTCTGCCTCCACCTGGTGGGCTCATTTCCTCCCTTGTGCAAGACACAGACGCCAGTCAGTCTTGGAGCTGGTAGACTGACCCTGCTGTCCAGGCCTGAGCTGGGTACCGTGTGCGCTCAGCCTCCTGTCCCGTGTGGAGCTGCAGTCAGTCCCACCTCGCAGAGGGGGACATGGAGGCCACAGAGGTGACTCAAGTCAGGCCCGGCAGGTCGGTCAGACTCGGAGCTGCCAGACTCCACAGCCATGTTCTTTCTGTTGGTACTAACTGTCAGTTTAAATTTCTGTTTGGCCTGAAAGCCCAGTCTAGCACCTTCCCCCACAGATCCACCTCCTCTTGGCTCCTTGCAGGTGAGCCCCACATGGTCACAGGAAAGAGGCTGCCTGGGAGCCCAGTCAGGACGAGGCCTCTGAGCGTTAGTGTGGGGCCTGGTCCTCTACCTCTTTGTGTGGGGCCCTTAGAAGGACGGCCGCGTGGTGTTTCTGAGCTGCCACTCTGAGACGGTCTGGGACCAGCTCCAGCATCCTGTCGGCTGCCGAACCCTGTTGTACTTTCTCTCTTACTCAAAAGAAAGAGCTGGTCGTGTGGTCTGCTTGGAATGTAATAGCAACAGAACAGAAGCTTTTAAAAATTCATCTTCTGTTAGTAGACTCAGACCCGATGAAGATTAACTTTTAGCCGTGGGAGGTAGAGGGACAGGAACCAGGGTGAGCTGGAGCCACCTGCACGGCTCTGTTTCTGCAGGTGAGGCTGGGACATGGGTGACAGTGGGTGTGACCAGTGTGACCAGTCGGTGAGCTTTGGACCATGAGGAGCACGGACAGCCACCGCTGTTTGAAACATGGAGGAAGCCCCCTAAACTTCAAATGCCAAATGGGTCGGCATCTTTGGGCTCCTATCTCTGGTGCAGGGTAGCTTTTCTGTCACCACCTGACGGTGCTCGTTACTTAGAATGAGCAGGGAAAGAGCCCTTGCGGGAAAACAGCTCCCGCCCAACCCCCTGGAGGACTAGCTTTGTACAGACCCCAGTGTTTGCTGGGGTGCAGATGGGCAGGATTGTCCCCCTGAGCTAAGCAGTGGTTTTGTGTGTTTAAATATTTACCCAGGAACCTGATGACTTAGCATATCCTATAGAAGGAATTTGCTTCACAAAACAGGACGTTGGGCCCCTCCCTGAATCTCAGATGTGTTGAGCCTAGAGTAGTAAGGTTCTGCATAGTCGTATGAGAAAGCTGAATGCAAAGCTGACCTAAGGCCACCTTCAGATTGGTGCTGCAGCCTTTAAATGCTCCTTAGTCAGAGGGTGACAGTGAGGTGCTAACCTCGGGCTGTGCTGGTCGACCCCGGCAGGCTCACTTGAGTGGGCGTGGGTGTGTCTGCCGCCAGCTCCTTCATCAGCTAGGCCCGGCCTGTGCTGCCCACTGCACCTTCCAGAGGCCGGGACGGGGGCGCCTGGCCACTGCCCTCTGGTGGAAAGTGCCAGGCCCAGGCCACACTGCCTCCTCACCTGCTTTGCTCCGTCTGCACCAGGTTGCAGCCCCTCGCACGTCACGGTGTACAGTGAGTATGGAGTTGACGTCTTCGACGTGCACACCATGGAGTGGGTCCAGACCATCGGCCTGCGGAAGGTAAGGCCCGGGGTGGGTGACTTCCTCCCGCTGTGTGCCGGCTGCGTGGCTACCGTCCCTCTCTGGTCTTCAACAGATAAGACCCCTGAACTCGGAAGGCACCCTCAACCTGCTCAACTGTGAGCCTCCCCGCTTGATCTACTTCAAGAGCCAGTCCTCAGGTGACCCTTTACCCGCATGCGGGGAGGCCTTCCTGCCGACTGCGCCCCTCGGTCCCTCTGTCCTCGCAGCACAGCGTGAGGGCCCCATGTAACTGGGTCCTGCTCCGCACCCGCAGGCACAGTTCTCAATATGCCCGACACCTCTGACAATAGCAAGAAGCAGATGCTGCGGACCCGGAGCAAGAGGCGGTTTGTCTTCAAGGTGCCAGAGGAGGAGAGGCTGCAGCAGCGGCGGTGAGAGCAGGAGCGGCCTTGCCGGGCGGCACAGTGTCAGAGCCAAGACTTTCTGTGTTTGGGAATCCAAAATATCTTCTTTTCCAGGGAGATGCTTAGAGACCCAGAATTGAGATCCAAAATGATATCCAACCCGACCAACTTCAACCACGTAGCCCACATGGGCCCGGGCGACGGAATGCAGGTGCTCATGGACCTGCCTCTGGTGAGCTCACCGGACGCCCACCCCCCTCCCTCGTCCCCTCAGCACACCTGCCATCACACCTGCCCGCAGGGTGGGGCTCCGTCTGGGACGCTGTCGGGGCTCCCCCACCCCTGAGGGCCTTTCCTTGGCCATCTGGCGATCTGAGCAGACCTGGAGAGCCTGACCCACGGGCCGCAGGCGAAGTTTCCTGGGCGTTTCCCCCACAGGGCGTGTCCGAGTCCCCCTTTCTGCTGGCAGTGCCCACCAGGGGCACTTATATTTGTTTGGTGACTGTTAATGTTTTATGATAAAACTAGCGGTCAAAAGTGATTTCTAAATAACATGAGCAGGTAACATTCTTTTTCTTTTACTCTAAAAAATGGGTTTTTATATGGGATTCACCTTGGTCTAAAATTACTATTGCCGACTCTTAGCTCAAAGCCTAGCTGAGGTTACTGTACAGAGCCTTCCCGGCCCGGCTCCCTCATCGAGGTCCTGTCCCTGGTGGTGGTCCCACCTGCGTGTCAGCTGGGACACTCCCTTGCTCACCTGCTGTTCTCTCTGCTCAGAGCGCTGTGCCCCCATCCCAGGAGGAGAGGCCCGGCCCGACTCCCACCAGCCTGGCCAGGCATCCCCCCCCCAAGAGCAAGCCCTACATCTCCTGGCCAACGTCAGGTACCGAGGCTTCAGGGGCGCAGGGTCTGGGAGGCTGGGGCTCCTTTCCCTGAGGTGACGGTGTCCTTGTGCCCTAGGGGGACCCGAGCCAGGCATGGCAGTGCCTCTGAGAAGCATGTCCGATCCCGATCAGGACTTTGACAAGGAGGTGAGGCCTGCTGATAACTGGGGTGCAGCCCACTTGGAGGAGAACCCAAGTGGCCCTGCTTTGAGAATTGGCTTTTCCATTTCTGGAAAAAAAAAAGAAAAGCTAGTGGACTCTCAGAAAGGACAGCATTGAATCTGTAGATCGTTTGGGGGAGTTGCCATCTTAACACGTAGCCTTCCACCCATGGCCATGGGCTGCTTCCCTCACATCTCTGCCTTTCAGCCACATTTTCTGGTTTCAGGAACAAACCTCTCACCTTCTGGGTTAGGTTTACTCCTAGCTGTGTTTTGTTCTTTTGGATGCTGCTGTAAGTGGAAGTAATTTCCTTTTCAGATTGTCCATTGCAGGTGTATAGAAATAGTGGTTTTTGGGTGTCGATCTGTAACCTGCGACTTTGCTGAATTTGTTCAGTTTTGTGTGAGATAGTGGGATTTTCATGTACAGAATCATGTCATCTGTGAACAGACACGGTTTCACTTCTTCCAACTTCAGTGTCTTGTGTTTTCTCGGCACATTGCTCTGGCTGGACAGCGGCAGGGAGACAGGCAGCGGGCTCGTTAGTAATCTCTTAGGGGAAGCTCATCTCTCCCTGTGGGGTGGGAAGGTGGCTGTGGACTTTCATGGGCCATTCATCCTGTGGGAAGGTCTCTCTCCTCCTGGTGCACTTTTCACGGGTGTCCTGAGGCCTGGCTGCCGTGCCGCCTGTGTCTCACTGCACCGTAGCGCGTTCCCCTCCGCAGTGTAATTATTACTAAGTCCTTGGTGGGCTGGGCTTGGTCTATGCTCTCACTAGCGAGCTTAAGGTCCAATGTGTGCTCATGACAAAGGAGAGAGCAGTTGCTGCCTCTGTCCCCCACAAACAGCACGTCAAGCTGGGGGTACGTCCCCCCAGTACCCGGGCCCAGGGCAGTGGGTTCTCATGCTCTCCCCCCTTTGTGTTCACAGCCAGATTCAGATTCTACCAAACACTCGACTCCATCCAACAGCTCCAACCCCAGCGGCCCGCCGAGCCCCAATTCCCCCCACAGGAGCCAGCTTCCCCTCGAGGGCCTGGAGCAGCCGGCCTACGACGCCTGAGGCCCACCCGGGTCCAGGGAGCCGGGCAGCTCCAACGCCAGTGCCAAGACAGAGCTGACCCTCCAGTGTTGCCGAAGGACATGTAGAGTCGACTTGTAGATAACGGAGACGAAAAAATCTTTACTGTGATGTGATCCGTTTACGCTGAGTTGTTCAGGGCCCTGAACCAGACCCTTCGCCCGCACTGCTGAGGCGACACTGCTCCCTTTGCACACGAAGGCCCCCACCCAGCTACCCCGCCCAGAGCCAGCGGAGGAGGTGCCAGGCCACCAAGGTCGCTGCTCAGAGACCTTTGGGGAACACACAGCGAGGACGGCCGGCGACCAGCCTGTTCCCTCTCCCTAGAGCTTTCATAGGACCATAGGAGACGAGTAGCAAGTTGTGTCTTCCAGTGTCACTCGCTTGGAGGACAGGAAAGTGGAGGTTTGTCTGTGGCTCTCTTAGCCGTCGCGTGGTCCGCTGCAGAGGTCCTGCCGACCTCGTAGCCACGGACACAGGCCCCTCCTGAGGGACGCCTGCCCTGCCCTGGGTCCCCGTGTGTGTGAGCCCCTTCCGGTCACAACCACCAAGTGTCACCAGTATCTACTGTGAAGTCGGCTGTGCTGCTGCTCGTCCCCTCGCAGCTCTGTCTCCTCCATAGAAGCGGGTGTCAGGGTGCAGCCAGGCCCCAGGCCCCAGACCCCCGCCCCGCCCGGAACCCACCTGGAGCCCCTGGCTGGTACCCGTGTGGATCGTGCAAACTCGCGGACACTCCTGTACTGCCCCTCCTGCAGCGCCTGTATTTAATGCTCACCCTCCCTGTGTCCCGTGAGAGTGATGAGGTGGTGGCCTGTCCCGAGAGGCTGTGTGTGATTCCCTGGCCAGCACGCAGCTCGTGCTCTGCCCAGGACGGCTGTTCTCTGCTGGCCCCTGCCAGCGTCCGGGGAGAGCTGTTGGATACGTGCACTTACCTTGAGTCGGCACTGAGTGACGTGGGTACCACACCCAGCGCCTGCCCCCCCGCCCCCCGGGCCTTCTGCTGGGGCTGGCACCTGCTGGGGGTTCTGGTTTTTACTTTTTTAATGTAAGTCTGAGTCTTTGTAATTATTGAATCACCGTGAGAACATTTTTGAACAATTACCTGTCAATAAAGCAGAAGACAGCAGTTTAAAGTTCTTGGTGTTTGTCTGAATGTGCAACCTGTCACCCTGAGTGTGTCTGGGCCCCCCCAGCAGGGCCACAGGCAGTGAGAGCCGTTCTGGTCGTTCTTCCGGGTGGCACAAAGGCACCTGTGCCCAGGGGGCAGGACTGCCTCCTGAACTGGGACCTCTCCCCTGCAAGGTGGCTTTAGGGGCCTTCTGGGGGAAGCTGCAGGGGCCCACCTCCCGGCCCAGAACAGCAGAGAACCCTGTCCACGCGCAGGCACGCTGGCCCCTCAGCAGCACGGGGACAGGTGGGGGCAGGCCAGAGTTACGGGGTGCCTGAGCCAGGGTGCTGGGCACAACCACACTGGGGCTCTGGCCCTGGAGGGTCTGTTTCCCCGAGGGCAGGGAGCGGCCCGTGGGGAGTTGGGTTGTATGCCCTGTGAGGCCCCAGGGAGCTCTTGGGGACACAAGGGCAGCGACAGGACCTACGAGAGGGTGGCCAGCATAGGGCTCTGTCATCCTACAGCAATGGCAGCCTCCCAGGCAGTCCCTTCGGACCCAGGCCCGTCTCACTGTGGGGTCTCCTTGCTCACAGTGGGGAAGAAGTGGGACACATTGTGGGAGCGCTGGCTGCAGAGTTCTTCCCAAAGGGGTTTACACCTCAACTGCTCCCACTGTCTTGGCGAGTCACCCACTCCTGACCTCCCAGGGCCAGGCTGCAGTCTTCCCAGCCGGGGCATCAGAGCAGCCAGGGCAACGGAGAAATGAGCGGGGCCAAGCGCTGGCAAGTGGCCGGAGGGGCAGTGGGCAGCCAGGCTTCGGTCAGGTTAGCTCCTGGCCCCTGGTGTGACATCTGCCACACGAGGCCCGGGCACCTGTCAGGGTCTGAAACGGGTGCCAAGTGTCAGCCATTTACAAAAAATGGATCGTTAGCCACTATAGCAGAGAGTGGGCGCAGGCACCGGAGCGCAGCACAGCACAGGGCCACCAACCGCGCGTGGGGCAGCCCCAGCCTCTCATCCAGGGTCAAACGCCTGCAGTTCCAGGGCTGGGGGTTCCCAGCGCAGGTGCTGGTTTCACAGGAAGGTCACTTCGCACAGTTTCACACACAGCCGAGCGCCTGCTGCTCCGGGGCCGGTGGGTGTCCTGAGTCACCCCCAGGATGGGAGGGCAAGGCCTGGCCTCGCAGAGACAGACACCAAACTCCCCACCCAGCAGGCGGCCACCTGACCCCGCAGAAGGAATCGGGCTGCCTCCCCGCAGGACAGCGTCCCTGGGACCCCCGGTCAGCGCATCCACCTGACTGTCCCCCTGGGACCCCCCGGTCAGCGCATCCACCTGACTGTCCCGGCGCTGCCCGGCCACTTGTCATGACAGGAGGGGGGTGGGCTGGCGCCCCCCTCACCCTCACTGGGGCCTCAACCTCCCCGCTCCAGTCCCCCGCTTTCACTGGGGGGTCGCTGGGGTCTTCCCCTGGACGCTCCAGCAGCAGGGGCAGCCCCTGCCTAGTTCTGGGCGCGGCTTCGACAGGAAGCCTCCGGCCACCCACAGGCGGTGCTGGCCCCGAGGACCTCCCTTCGCCACGGCCGCTCCCGCCCGGCGGGGGCGCAGCCGGCAGCGTATCCACGGAAGGCAGGTGCAGGAAACGCCTTTATTGGGGGGCCACCCTGTGCTTGGCTGGCAGTGGGCAGAGGGGTGCGGGGATCCCGCGTGCTGTGACCGGCACAGGCGGCCGGGTGCCCCGGGCAGGGGCGGGGAGGGACGCTCAGGCCTCGGCCTCGGAAAACAGCGGGTTCA